GAGGCTGCGGGGTTGTCGGCGGAGAGTTCTGCTGCTGTGCGCCGCCTCCCGGATACCCCCGGGCCTGTCTCCAGGTGCCGCGCAGGGCTGCAGGGAGGGCGCGGAGAGCTGTGGCACCCTCACAGTTGGCGTTTTCAGTAACAGGGCCGATGGAGGAATAAAAGAGGGAGCCCCACATTCCACTCCCCATGGCAGAGAGCCGACAAGCGCCTGCCTTCTCTGGGAGGGCGTGGGGGAGGGCGTTTGAAAGTTAAATCTCGCTCGCCGTCTCTGGGCACTGGGCACGTTTGTCCGCCCACCGTGCGCACGCGTGGAGATCGATCAAAGCCCGGACCCAACTTCGGGATCCCTGCAGCAGAGGCACACGGAAATTAGTAAGGCAGTGGTGAGTGAAGGTTGATGCTCTCTGAAGTCCATCAAGCCTTTCCTGGGACAAGGTGTACCACACGGCAGGTCTGTGCAAAAAAATACCTCTTTTGGTTTTGAACCTGCCTCTTGGTTGTTCTCTTTGAAGTCTAACAGAGAGGCACTAGGCAGTCTCCCTCACCAGCCTTTCTTCCTGCTGCATTCATAAGCTTTTATTCTCTTCCCCCTCAACTGTGTTCCCTAGCCTGGAAGACTGCAGACTGCTCAGTCTTTCCTTATTTGAAAGCCATTCCCTATCTATAGGCCGTCACCTTGCCCTGAAGGTTTCTAAGCTACATTGTATCTTTTGTGAGATAATGAGCACTGGAATGACATTACAGCCCTGGAGCTGGATGTTTAGTGTGTGTGCTCAAACTCCAGTTATGTGGCTTGTAAATTTCCAGACTTTCCAATGGTTTTATTCTTTTGACTGCTCTTTGCAACTGAGGAATTGCTTCTCATTTGAGTGTTGTTCCTCTCCCTGAACTGAACTCAATGGTATTTTTCTAGTATTTGTCATTTAAATGCCTGTGTTGAGTCCAGGTGTTAGAGTTGCTGTGACAGAGCAGCTCTCCAGCGGTATCGTTTTGTACCAGGTCCTATGAACTATTAAGGGTCAAGTCTTAACGTTTCTTGTTCTGTGTTTCTTGTTTTCCTGAAGTGTTTGTTAACTGTAGTTAGAAGCACAGACGTCTTGCTTCTGTTTGACATCTATCCTGTCTACATGGGGAGAAGGAATTAAAACAACATCTGGAAATTTCCTGCACCTTTTAACCATGTAATCTTTCACCAGAGAGCTTGAAGATTTTCAGTAAGGATCTGCAGAGCTTCTGTTGTATTAATGCTTCACCTGTTCATACTGTGAATTAAACACAGACTCAAGACAAAACTGTTTATCATCTTTAAGTTTTTTACATATATATGGGAAAAATAAAAGTGTCCAGTCATGCACATATCCCCCAGTTTTGAAGTCTGGATAACTTGAACTAGGGAGGAAACCTAACAAGTTAAGCTTGAGAAAAAGAAATCTGTCAGGGAAAAACTCAGATCATCTCTGAAAATCAACAGATATGATGCAATAGAGTCAGAATTTCAAAGATACGACTTAAAAGAACTGAAGATGAATTCTATGAGGAGCCTTTGCGGGTGAATTCTAGGGCTAAACAGCAAGTTCTCCCCGAGGCTAGTTAGGAGAACTTTTAACAGGACAGGATTTAGAGGTGATGACACTTTCTTCACATTTCAAACAAGCGAACAGCAAGGAAACCAGTATCCTTGTGGTAAGCTGACTGCAGATGCTAAACATGTTAATTACCTTCCAGAATATGTTCATTAAGAATAGCGTTACAGCCATATCCTGAGCAATGTTTTGAGTTTTGAGTACAGTAACATTGTATTAATAAACAGATAATAAATCGAAACTGCAGCTTAGTTTGTGGTTACACCTTGCATTACATTTATAAACCTACAGAGTATTATAAAAACTACTAACAAAATAATTTTGCTTGTTTCAGTTCTATACCAGCAGATTTTAAAAACCACAGGAAGATGTCTTTTTTCCCCAAAATCTCTTTCCAATGTGAAGTTCAACAATATCTCACCAAGGTGTTCAAAAATAATGAGGTATGCAAAATAGACACTGCTAATTATCAATATGCACTAATTGAACACTGTTAATATTTTGTGTGACTAATATCTTACAATGTGGTACTGTCCTCACATTAGACACAGTTTTTTATATATTATTCTATTTAAAATATGAAATTATTCTTTATGCCTATTGACTCAAAGTTACATAAAAATATTTAAACTAAACTTATCATAAATCTGAGACTTCGGGTTTAAATCCCACTGAAGAGCAATCACAGATAAAATAACCATTTATTAACCACATCATATGGACAAGAAATACTCCCTTACCCCAGTGCAGAACCAAAAATACTACAGACAATGTCCTAATGTCAGAGGACACACGAATGACATTTTTGTGTATGGGGATAGATGTTAATATTTCATAGATTTGAATCTACTCCTCCATCTCCTTTGGACTGTTCTTTCTACAGTGTGACAGATCTTGTAAGCAGTTACTTTTGGTACTTGCTGCAGCCTGATCTTGCTAATATGACTGTTTTTTCCAGCAAGTCCTTTTCAAGAAATGTGAGGTTTTCACTGGAATTAGGCCTCTAGATGTAGACATTCCTCCCTATTGCACACCACACAACCATATTCCTCCATTTCTAGAGAGTGTTCATTCAGTGCTTTTTTTTTTTTCTCCGCAAGCAAGAGGCTGATGTGTGAATCCCTTTAATATAAAAATCTCTTCTTTCGTTTTCAGCTTATAGCTGCTTTAGGAACACAGGAAGTGGAGAGTAAATATCAATCTCTGTTGAGTCATCTATCTCATCCACCAGGTTTCACAGTTGTTAGAGTTAATACCCACTTGGCCTCAGTGAAACACGTGAAAAAATTGCTGCTTGAGGAGATCCAAAAGGTCTGTGTAACTTTTTTTTTTTTGGTAATGGCAAAAGTAACAGGATATTTAATCTATTTCCTGATTATGAGAGCTTTTAATTACTGGAAACTGTTCCTTAACATAGTACACGTCTACTAGTGTTAACATTATGCACTAATACTGATCTCCTGTCAGCATTAAATGAAAAATTGTCTGGCTGTATTCCTCATCTAGTATGTCTAACCCATCTGCTGACCACTTGCCCAACACCGAATATTATCATTAACAGGCAGACCAGCAGCCAAATTCCTCTCTCTACTCCCACATCACACACCAGAGATCCAAAGAGCCAGACAACCAGAGGGAGGAACAAGTCAATGCACTCACCCACCGCAGCGGACATAAAGAAGAAAGCTGACCTCCCAACCCCACTGCAGGCAGAGTCAGCTCTTACAGAGGTGGCTTCTTGCCCTGCCTCCAAGTTAATGTGAAAGGCAGGGGCACCTGGTGGTGATCTCCTCATCAGTTCCCACCCAAGGCTGGCCAGGCCCTGGGTGAAAACCAGTCAGGAGGATCTTTCTTGCCTGGTTGTGGACATCATCCATATGCCAACCCTCATTCAGGGCTGAGGGTTTAACCCCAGCACTTCACCAAGAAAGGCAATAACAAAGGGAAAAGACAACCGACTCATATAGCAGATCCAGACCTCACTGGGGTACCCTTATTGGGGCACTGCTGTAGTAAATACTGCAAAGTTATCTTAAGTCTACAGAAGATGGTAGCAAGAGATAAAAACTGTAGTTCAGTATGCTCTGTTCAGCATGTTTAGGACATTTTTATTTAAGATTAAAGGACAATGGCTGTATGTTTCATTGCACAAACGCTTTAGGAAAGTGAGAAAATTCATAGGTTTTAGAAACTGCAGCCAGAGTGATGCCCTGCAGCTGCTGTATTTTCTTTTTTTAACCTGTTTTTAATGTTGACACAATTCAGGATTCTTATTTACCTTAATTAAACATCTATTTATCTGATAATGTGTAAACCATAATGTTTAAGAACTAGACTATTTTGAAACTGTATCCTGGATCTTCACTCTGTGTAAAAAGATCCAGTTCTTTTTTAAGTAAATTATTAATGCCAGTGGGTGTACAGGGAGCTATTGCCTGACAGGAGCTAAGACATTTCTGTGATGCAGAGACAGTTGACAGTATTCTGCTGTCTGGAATGGTAATGAGTTATGCTAATTTTAGGTTGATTGTAGAAATCTGGAAATGGATATTGTGGTATGATATTCTGCTTTAAGGGAAATGCTTTGCTGAAAACTCAGTTAAGACTGTCTTTTCATAAACTTCTTGTAGTTTGAATTCTGGTTATATTAGAAAAGGAAACTACGTAATAGTTCTTCACAAAAGTGTGCTCACGGATTGTTTCCTAAGAGAAAATACTCATTTATCAGATGCAAACTGATTTATATTTTAGCATGTTTTAAGGTTGTATTTTAGAAGGTCCAGGTGAGAAGATGCTGTCTTTCTAAAGTCTGGGAACAGTTTTAAAATGTTATTTTCCAATTTATGGAATAGTCTTTTACTTTAGTATTTTTAATATTCAGTGTCTCCTTGCACACAATTCCCAACCTCTCTTAACTGTTGTCACTATGTTTGTGTGTTGTACTCTACAGCTATAAATCATGAATGGAAAAAACAGTTTTCGGTCTAATTAACTACTTAAATATTAAAGGGTTTTAGTTCTTTGTAATAATTATGTTTTTTAATGAAACAGCAATTTAAAGGACTATGTGTTCCAGTTCTTGAGCACCCGAAACTCCAGGACATCTTGTTAATTCCTGTCATTGGACCCAGGTTTGAAATTTTCAGTCTTTAGCCTTAAAATGTCATAACACAGTTTTACTTATAGATTTCTTGTTAACTGACTCACTAAAAATGAAGCACAACTTTATTTGTATTAAGACCTAGTGGACAGTCCATATCCTTACCAGGACAGAATTTTAGTCCTTAAAAGATGCAAGAAAATGTAGAGTTCTCTCCTTATTTATGAGATCAACTTTTTATAGGGAAAATGTAACATAAGTATATCCTCTCTGGAAAGCCAGTTAGGTGACAAACAGAAAAACTGAACATTTGTGACTGAATATAGAACTATAACTAAATACAGGCAGGGTTTTATTCCACTGGAATCCAAGTCCAAAGCAAGGCTAAGAGAGACTGAATCAATAATGCTGAAAGGATTCCTGAATCAGTTTTATTCTCTACAAAAATGACTGTTCATTTTTCATTCTTAAGATGTGTTTGGATATTTCTCATGTGGCATCTGTGTCTGCCTCTATGGAGTTTCTTCATTGTTTTACTGAATGGACATTTTATTTTAAGTACCTTGCTCATAATGAAGACAAGTAATACTAGTTTGTAAATGATGTACACTCTAAAATAACATTAAATGCTTCTAGTTGTTCTTCATTCATTTAATTCTCTCTTGTGGCATCTTTTTATGATGCCACATTTGAACACAAATTTCTTTTTGTGTTCAAATATGCTTATGCTTTAATAAGCTTGAGTAACTACCTTCTTTGCCATTTTTACTGGCAAAGTTCCTTGCACCTGGCTATACGTGTATTGTAGAAGTACTTAGTGGTTATTAAACAGAGAAAAAAATCACATTACAGTGATCTGGCCTAAGAAGGGATAGAAGATGACTTTTCCTTCTCATTATAATTTACATGTATTCCTGTTGGGTTCATACTAGTGGCAGAATGTGTCAGAATCTCCTTTATTTGGAGGACTGGTTTCCTTCCTGTCTCTTTCCTTTAATTCCTCTGGGACTAAAATAAATCTTTTTGATGTAAAAGGTAACTATTTTTTCTATTACATTCTTACAAAACCAGTATTTACGAAGTAGAGTTTACTTGGAGAGTATTTGGTTTCTTTTTCAGTACAACTTTTTTTTTTTTTTTTTTTGTAAACCAAACGATATTTTGTATTTGTAGGCGAGATTTACAAAAACATGCCTCTGAAGTCATTGTTGGAGCCCAGTGTGGATATGCAGTCCTCCGAGGAGCACACGTTTATGTCCCTGGAATCATATCTACCTCAAGATGTAAGAGTTCTCTAAATGCACCCAGATAAGTTATAGGGAAGATAGAAAAAATGTCACCCCTCAATTATAATTCCCAATAATTTGTGACTTTATCTAATCACAGCTGAAATTAATCTTATAGCTGTAATACATTTGTATTACATGTAATAAAATTTTTAAAAAGTTTTTCTGGCTTTTTGGGGGAGATTTTCGCTATTTATGCATTATACTTGTAATAAATTATAAGTAATTATTTCTTACCTGATCTGTTTAAAGTTCTGTTATCCATATGTAATTCCTAGGTGAAGTATTAGTTTTCAAGGATTTTAGTTTCTTGTTTTAATTTGAAAATCTTTTTACAGAGCATATTCAAAGTAAAACCTATATTTAAAGTTCTTTTACTACTGAATACTGTAGCTTTTGATATGAATGTTCAGTAGAATAAACTGACAGAAGTTTGCTGCTTTCCAGTCTTATCCAAACAAAAAAATAATAAAAGGAGCTCCACAACAGTCACATGTGGATGGTAACTGGATGTATGTTGATGATGTTGATTATTTAATAGATACTATTTCCATATATTTCTTCATCCAGTCACAAAGACTCCATGATCCTCTCAGATTCTGTTACAGATTTTAAAAAAATAATTTTTTTTTTTTTTTAATCTGTGGCAATTCATTTGTGTTGTTTGTGAATGAGACATCTAGTAAAAAGGGGTGTATTCTGTTGATGAGAAAAATCTTTAGTGTCAGATTCTTAAGAAATGGAAATTTTTGTTTCAGTGACTGTGAGACAAGATAAAAAGTCTACATATAGATGTTTAGTGTTCAACAGCCTATTTAGTTTTTATTTAAAGGCTAAATTAACTTTATGTGAAACTAGTATATTTTTGAATGATTCCCCTGATTATTTTACTGCAATGAATTCTAGTAATTATCATGGGTTTTAGTCAGGAAAGCATTTATCTAGCCACTTAACTTCATTGCCTTTCAGGAAAAAAACTTGAAGTTTTAAGCATGCTTAAATCCAATTCACTGAACAAGATTTTTTTTTTTCAGTTTAGGACTCGATAATGAAATAAGTATATTGCTGTAGTAGTTGAAACTGCTTATTTAGACAACCTCATACATATTCAAATCCCTCTTCGAGTCAGCTAGTGATTTATCATAATTGCTGCATGTAATTATGCATGCAACATCAGTTCAAAGAAAAGAAAATATACTTACTGTAGTTACTTATAGTAACTTTAAAAATACTCTAGGGGAATTGCAGGTAGGAAAATAAAATAAAAGGGCATGCTACTCACTTGAGGCTAAATATGAAAAGGCTGTTTTAAACACAGAGGGTCTAACTAGGGGAAAAAAAAGAATACACCAAGAAGGCACATTTAATCACTGACCTTGCAACCCAAGTCAGGGTAAACTAATGATCAGGGGGCTTTGAGTTTAACTATCAAACTAAGATTTATACTTATGGAATGCCACTGTAAGCTACAAAAACCTTAAGAACTGTACACAGTACTAATGCATTTTGAAAGGATGATTGTCAGCAGAGACTGAAATCCAGTCCTTTATGCTTGAATACTGCAAACAGTTATTGGCAAGTAAGCTTGATGGAAGAGTTAAATTGCTCCAAGTTTTTGTTCAGTGAAGTCTGAGCAGACAATAATAGCAGGCTATCACACAATGCTTTGTGTCACATTGTATAAAAAGAAGCTATGTAAAAAAATAAATGTTTAGTGACTGCCCCAGAAATATTACCATTTAGGAATTCTAGGGCATTTACACATATTCAGAAGGCTACTTAAAAATGGAAAAAAATATTCCTAAATACTGTTCAAATTCTGGTTGCTCCAGCCAGTCAGGTGCTTCAGAAATGTAATTTTTGAAAATTGTTTATTGCTGTCAGCGGAGGCCTTCATTTTAAAGCATATGTTTCAGCCAGTCAGTGCATAGAACATGCTCACTATTCTACAAAATCACCTAAACTATTCCGCTTTCACATCTGTTTCTGTTCTAGCTCAGAAAGAGTTTTAAGTCCCTAGGACTACAATTCTAGAGTTCGGAGTATATTTACATACTTTAATGGTCTTGAAGGGTTTAAATTGGAGATGTAAAGCTCTTGTGAGGATCATTGAGAACAGCAGTTGCCTTAGAAGGAAGGCCACACCAGAAAAATTGTTTCAACAAGAATATATAATCACTTGTGTCAAAACAATAGTCAGAGAAAAAGCAGCTATACTATGTTCTACCTAGCTATTGAGAGATCGTTAGACAAAACGAATATTATTGTCTTTGTACAGTAAGTGTGAACCAGTATTGTTTGAGGTGCTTGGAGTGCACACAGAGGACTAAATCCTGAAGAGTGCACTTAAACCTTATGGGTGACCATGCAATGCTAAAGTAAATGAAGGGAAGAATTGTCTAACCTCTTAAAAAGCAAGACATGCTGTCTGATGATTTGTAAGCTTGTGTCTCTCAACAGCTCTAGTCATTTGAAAGCTGTTGTTAATCACATGCAATTTCAAGTCTAATCTTTGACTGCATTAGGAAAGTTATGAGTTGAAGTCTCCTGAGGTTTACTGAAAATCCTAAATTATTTGGTCACTACTGCCTTGTCATCTGTAGTATTAATCTCAACATATCCATTCTTCTTTGTGCAGTTATGAAAGCTGGAGATCTGGTCTCAGTGTATTCAGATATTGAAGGGAAATGTAAAAGGGGAGCTAAAGAATTTGACGGAGTCAAAGTTTTCCTTGGCAATGGGATTTCAGAACTGAGTCGCAGTGAAATCTTTAGTTCAAGTGGCCCACTGAGGTAAGTCCATAGTAACTGCTGTCTACACCTACAGCTTTGCAAAGGGAAAAAAGAAGATGGGAAGACATTTTGAAATGTTCCTGTGTGAAACCACAGGATGGCCTTGACCGAGACCTGTGTTGCTTGTTGGGATTGCCAGTATTTTTTGGGAACCGTTAGTTTCTGTGGATATAATAGAGTTGCACCTCTTGCTGTCTTCTTTAACTTTACAATTGAGGTACAGCAATTTGATGGCAATTATGATTGAAATACTACAGTAAGTATTGTCAGACTCAGCATTTAGTTTCAGTGCTATCTAGATACCAGTTTGCTTGAGAGGTAGGAGGAAACAATTGGGAGCTTTTTCAGGATCTATATTTAGCATATGACTGCAAGAATATAGAACAAACAGAAGTGACAAACATTATTACTGTGACAAAATTATGTTTTGGTAACTTGTTCTGTACCATTTTCCTGTTTGGATGAAACAGAAATGCAGCCTTGTTAATTTCTCTGTTTCCAAAAATATTTGTAAAGGTGTTTTTTGTTCGGGTAGAAGACACAGTATAAGGTCAGATATCTTAAAAAAAATTAATAGCCCTTTGCCAAGATAGTTACCCGTGTCAAAATTCCATGCTATTCTGTTTTGTTGCCAAGGCAAATGCTTTGTTCTCTTCTGTCATCTAAAACACCCATAAAAAGCGGTGCAGAAGAGCACAGACATCAGTTAATGACCAAGACTTCACATCCTGAGAACAAACTACAAAAGATCTATATTGGCAGAGGATTTCTGATTTATTAGCACATAAATACAGTAGAAACATACCTGTTGAGTGGATGACGTGGAATATGCCGTATGTAACACTACAGCTGGTGTCTGCAAGTTTGCTTTCTCATATCCTTCCTTCTTGTTGGACTGTGCAGTGCATAGGCAAAATGATACTTTATTCTTGTTATCTCCAGTAATCTGTTGTTTTCAGGTTCAGTATTATTTTTTCTTGTTGTCCATTTCCTTGTACATTTTTCTTAACTTAATAAAAACTGTGTCAGAACTTCACATTTAAAAGTGTTATGTTGCTTCTAAGCCCAAACATTTTCTTTGCAGGCAAATTACTGTTCCTGTAAGGCTTTTGAAATAGAATTTCTATAGTTATCTGACTGAAATCTCAGGTTGTCTAGAAAAATGGAGGAAGATCTAAGTATGAAATCATATGCCAGTACTCTAGTGCATATATAAGTAGCCAAAAGCAGTTTTAGGTTGAAATTAACATATTTAAATTTGATTTTATGCAGTCCTTTACATTATCAAAGCTTGGATTAGATCTGTTTATATTGTGTACCAAAAAAGATCAATTTGCTTTATGCAATTTTTACAGATAGTTCCAATTTTAATGTAGTACATATTTTGTTATGGTTTACTCAACTTAATGATGTAATTGTAAAGAATATCAGATTACAAAATTGTAGAAAATATTTTTCTTAGTTGATTTATAAGGGCTGTCATTTTTGTAAGATCACAATTTCAAGTTTCTGTTTGTAAGTTTTATGATTTTAATACTGTTAAAAATTATAAATTGGAGTAATTTAAATATATTTTTTTCATATTTTTCAGTGGGATGGGCATAAGAATGATAGAGCCAGTCTACCTTAGTCCTTCATTTGACAATGTGCTCCCTAGTCTTTTGTTTTTACAGGTAAGTTTTTTACACAAGTAAGTCTGTAGTATTTGCAGAATAATGAATATCCTCTAAGCACACATCAATGCTTTATATAATAGTTTTGTATTATGGCATTTAAGTCATACTTTGGATTTAAAAAAACCTGAAGAGTTTAGAACGACGCCACTGTCTACATGCAGGTGGTTTAGCCTGTTGTGTCTGAGATACGATAAGGGACTTCAAAGTGACTTTAGAGCTTTTCACTTTAAAACTTAAAAATTCTTTTTGCACATGTGCTCTGCATAGAACTTTTAGGTTTTGGAATCTGCCTGTGAACTCTGAAATAGGAGCCTCTTTCAGAGTATGTCCTGTAGATCATCAGGTAAATCTCCACATACTCGTCTGACTTGAACTTGACAAGTAAAACCACATACTTTTAGCTCTAACGAAAAAAGTCCACCCAAAGAAAATAACTATGAAAACTCATACAGTAGCTCAGCTTCCAAAGAATGACAATTTTTTTTTTTTGTGTAGTTATTGTAAACTTTAAGAACATTGCAAGTTATCTTTTCCTTTTGCATCTTTAATAATTGTGATACCCATATTCCTCCCCCTCCCCCCAAAGTAATAAAAAGCAATATTCAGACATGACAATTGGCCACCTGTACTATGTTGAAACATAGGCTGATGATATCATGGAACTTTCTAGTTTTCTTCTATCAGAATAAAATTCTTGATTTCAGTTAGTAGACATAATAAGAATGTGAACACTTCAATTATATTTCTAAGACAGTTAGTGTGCCAACAGTGGCATTGTGGCTTTTTATATAAATATGATGATTTATAAGCTGTCAAAAAAAAAAAGTTATTTTAATATTTAAAGCAAATGTAAATTTTATCTCAGATAAATCCTTGTTATTCTCATCTGATTTGCGTAACTGTCACTCAGGTAATACAGTAAGTCCTTTATTGTCTTAGTCACTGTTTCTTTTCTCAGAAGAGTCAGTCCAGCAGATGAGCTAATTTTTATGCATATATTATATTTGTAATTGATCTTAATATTTTTAATTCTGCATCAATCCTGTCTTCTGCTGTGGGCAAAAAGAATTTTATCAAGCAATGTCTTATCTAATGGTCTGCAGTAAAGGAGAGGCATTTTCTTCCCTGATTCAACTTATTAGAGTACTTGCTTTCAAGGAACAGAATTGTTGGAGACAAATTATATAAGAGACTGGTGCACACAAGAATTTAGATCATATTCAGTTTCTTGTCCACCAGTATCCCCAGGGCCTTCTCTGCAAAGATGCCTTCCAGCCAGCAAGCCTCAGCCTGTATTGGTGCATGGTGTGTACCAGGTGCAGGAGTTGGCATCTCTGTTCGTTTAGCTTCATGAGATTTCTCCTTCTCCATTTCTCCAGTCTGGCAATGTCCCTCTGAGTGGCAGCACAACCCTTCAATTTATCAACCATTTCTTCCAGTTTTGTAACCTCTAAACTCATTTAGGGTGCCCTGTGTCCCTAAGAAAGAAGTTAGACAACACTGACACCAGTATCTGCCCCTGGGATACACCACCATTGACTGGTTTTCAGCTGGACTTTGTGCCCCTGGTCACAACCCTTTGAGCTTGGCTTTTTTTACTTGAATTTACCATGCTTGAGATTAATTACTGTTCATTTTTTTTAATACTGTGGCATGGAACATGCAACTGTTCTAACCAAAGACAACATCTATTAAAGACAACTTTAAAAGGTTTTTATACCTTTGTGTTGAACCAAGTTAGAAGAGAATCTTTCAGAATATTGCACAATTATTGTGTAGTATTTCTCTTCAGTGCATCTGTTCTGTTAATACAATTAATAACACAGTTCAGCTTCTTGGTAGCTTAATTCAGCAAGTTAGAACTCCTGCCTGTTGATCTTACTGTTCATTACGATACTACACTAGTATGTTCATAAAGTAAATGTTTCAATAAACAGGTTAATATAAAATATTTATAATGTACAGAGCTGCTCTGTTTCTGTGACAGTATCAGCTTATTTTGTTTTTACTTATAGCACTGTAGTCTTTGTAGTTATAAACCCTTAAACTTCAGCCATGGATATTCATATAGAGCTTTAAATAAAAAAAGGAGCCACTGGAGAATTTTGACTGACACTATCTCTTTTAGGTAATCTCAACAGTTTTGGTTTTGTTTTGTTTTGTTTTTTTTTTTCTGTTAAGGAAATGACAGCAATATCAGAGGCATCTTCATTGCTGAATATTTTTTTTTTCCAACAAGTTAGTCATTCCTTAATAGAGACCTTGATACAGGACATCAGGTTTGAATTCTCCCATATTTGTTTTTATGGTAGAACTTGCCTTCTGTGGTTGTGAGCCATATTTTAAACCCTCAACCAGGTGAGAGAATTTTGGATATGTGTGCTGCACCTGGAGGAAAAACAACCCATCTTGCAGCATTAATGCATGACCAGGTAAGAGAAGTCATTGAATATTTTCTGTCTCTCTGAAGAAAGTCTGACCACTGTTCATTTGCACAGCTCACTTCACTTAGCTGTCAAAATGCACAGATAATTTACAACAGCAAACAATATTTGATTGTTCTGCTTACCAATATATTTTGCTACACTGAAATGGACACAGACTGTCTTTATGAAATGATACCCATCACATTTAAGACCTTATTTTCTGCAAATTGACTTGTTGAAATATGTTTGATTTCACTTTTTAAATGTTACTGATTTATTTGTAATGGAGGAATTTGTAATATGCAAGGCAAAGTTATGCAGGAATATGCTGCATTCATGAAACTAAGGATATACGGGAATCAGGGGTTACGGCTGTGTGCCAAAAGAATGCACAAATCTGTACAAAAACAAGTTTAAAAGTTCTTAATACAATTAACTTCTCAGTAAAAATTATCACTTATGCAGTACAGGTATGATCTTAGACTGAATTTCTAGTCTGAATTTGTCATTCTAAGGCAGAAGGTCACAAAACCAAAAATATAAGAAAATAGCAATATAGAAAGAAACAACAAAAAAAACTTGTCTGTAAAAGCATATATTTCTGTCATGGATTTGTTGACATCTATACTTTTCCCATCTGTGTATGTGTATTTTGTGTAACTTTGGTTAGCTGTTTTTTTTCCTTAGCCATTGTAGTTATTTTGGTTGTGCTTACCTCCAGCTGACGTGTCAAAGATTAAGAATACAGATGCTGAAATTCTTCTGAATTAGTTTTCCTTTTCTTAGTATATAATTTTAAGATATGGAAAAAAATGTATTTGTAAATTTGCACTGCTTTTTGGTTCTTAAGTTCCATTCACTGATTTTTCATAATAAATTTCCATAGACAGTATGCTAAGTCATTAACATTTCAGAATATTTGAGTCAATCTTATATTTTCGTGATTTGTCCAAACTGGTATATTTGTTTCAGATGAGATGATTATAAAAAATTACTCTGTATTGTTAAGAGCTTTTAAATAGGTATTATTACTATTCTATTATAAGATACTATTACTATTCTGGATTTTATTGATGCTACTGTTTACTTTCCTCTGCGTTCAGAGATTTCATCTGTTACACAGTGGAATGTGTCTGTTTTGATTTATCTTGAGAGACAAAAAGACAAATCTTATTTTCACATAAAATGAGTAATGCATAACTGTGATTCCTCTCCCCCCATGTCTGCATTTATTCTAGTATTTACAGTATTTCTTAAAAGTAACTTGAGTGACAACTACAGCAAATGTAACAGTATGTTACCAGTCTGAGCAAGACAGAGGCATGCCTATGGAGTTCATTTCCTCAGCTCATACTGAGCTGCATGTGATCATGTTTCCTACCATCTTAATGCACATTAAAACTTGTTGACCTGTTTTACCATGTATTTGAGAGTTTTACCTTCTTTGAAGTGATTATGTTTTTACCTAACTTAGTTCCTAGTAAAATAGTTCAAAATTAACAAAAAGAAACAAACAAGAAACCACTTGCCAGCAGTCAGACATGACAGGGTCCCTTAAGGAGTGAGTGTGCTAAGGAGCTAGTGCTAGTCAGAATGCACACAGCTTCAGACTAGTGTCCAACCTAATGTGAATATCACAAAATACAACAAAATACAAAATTCTCTAGGGAAAACTAAGCCTCATTCATTACTCTGCTCATGGAGAGAGGAGGAAATCATGAATTGTACATCCATGTAATACCTATGCTTTTGATAAAAACTTCTTTTTTTTTTTTCCCAGGGTGAAGTAATAGCCATGGACAAGATAGCTCACAAGGTCAAAAAAATTAAGCAGAATGCTGAACTGTTCCAGTTGAATTGCATTAAGGCCTTTTGCTATGATGGAACAAAGGCACTTTCAGTTGAGAAGAAAGAGGATGAACAAGGTAAGGTAAATGACTTGAGTAGTAGTAGCTTTTAAAAGAAAACAGTAATCAGTTTTGCACTACTAGTATTAAACCTGCCTCAGCTCTACAAGTCCTTGAAATCTTGGCAGATACCTAAGTGAATGTTCTTTTATCTTCTACATTTTTTTGTGATTATCAGCTTTTCCATGAACCAAATAAAAACCTCAAACTATCTGTCCTTATCACAACCTAATATGCTCAAAGGAAATGTGTTCCTTTCCCAGATAATGTCAAAGACTGAAGAAGCCTTAAAGCTTCTTTCATGATAATGTTTAACCCCATACTCTGAATTGTTAGACTTAGCCTGAGAAAAAAAATAAATTCAGAATTGCTTGACTTTTCTTCCTCAGAATCCTCATCTGTAAAATGAGGTTAATAATACCTAACTGCCAGGAGCGCTGCAAGGTTTAGTTATTGATGTTTGTTCAGCTGTTCAGGGGAAAGTTTTATTACCAGTACAGTGTATTATTTTAAGTTAATTTCATTTGCTTTTCTGAAGTGCTGTATTTATAATACCGGTTCTGTTCGCATGATGGAACGATTAAACAGTATCTGCTGTCTCAATTATTTTTAGTTTGTTGTGCAAAGTGTGCTATTCTTTCTCACCCTGTTTTATTCCAGTCACTAGTTAGGCTAAGTAGGAAACAGGTTGCATAACTTACCTTCCTTGTCCCTGTGCCATGCAGTTATTCCTGCTTCGGAAGACTAGGGGTACTTTCTTAATAGTCTTTCTATAAACATAAAATATTATAGGTGGTATGTAGCACTTATACAGATGAACAAGAGCTAGCTGTAGTTCTGAGAGATCATGAAGGCTTTTCTGTACATTCCTGCAAGACATGACGTATTTTTACTGTTGTAGTAATGGATCAGAGGTGGATAAATCTGATAGACTAATTTTGTAGGGCTGGGACAAGCTAGATAGCAGTAGTATGAAGTCACTCACCTGTTTTCACTTGTGACTCGTGCCAACTGTGTGTCCCAGTAGGAAGGACAAGGCCATTAACAGTATACATACATGAAAGACTTTACCATCCAATTCCAAAGTATACAGGAGAGACATGAGGTGGATAACAACCAGAGAAATAAATAGATCAGTGTATTCACTCATGGTATATGACGTAGAAAAGAAAGCAGTGAGCCAAGTTAGAAACCAGGTCATGGGAGAAGGAATAAGCCAGGTCATCAGTCCAATTCCAGTCATATAGTAATTGCCAAGGAACAGCATCATTACATACATAACCCTCTTTCTGTCCTAGTCTTGATCTTGTCCTGCAGTCACTGGAAACTCCCTACAACAGACAGTGAGGAAGCCCTTTCAATAACTGAAAACCCTACATAACACATCCACCACATAAACAAACCTCCCCCATCCACTACAAGCAGAGCCAGCTTTTATAGTATTAACTATAATACTGTATCAGGCAGGATACTACATCAGGCAGGACACCTGATGTTGATTCTAAAGATGGGACACCGGGTGGTGATTCCTAATAGATTTTCACCCAAGGTTGGCCAGGAGTTGATAGAAAACCAAGGGGAAGGTCTCTCCTGCCTGGTTGTGGATGTCATCCATATGTCAACCCTAATTCAGGGCTGGGGGTTTAGGCCCCAGCACTTCAGTCACCTACTTGAATGTTTGAGGAACAGAAGGAAAAAATGAGGTATAGCATGTGTATGCTGTCTTTGTCATTAGTTATGCAGAGTTAGATGTATGGAGCCACTTTTGTCTTGGTGATGCAGAGCTGAAGAGTCTCTCTAGCACTAAGGTGACAGAAACTTTTGGGCTCTTGAGCCAGTGGGATTCAGAGGAAAGGACAGGCTCTGCATACAGGAGCTGCATTTTCCCTTAGCTATGCAGGTAATATTCAGAAATTGTTCTTGGCTTCACAATCCTTGTTTACTGGATTGTTATCCTGTGGAGACAGCATGTGTCATGCATTAGAACTTGTAATATTTCATGTTATTATGAAATGCTTTATTTTCTGCAGATACATCTGTATCACAAGAAATAGTTATTACATAGATAGTTCAATTATTATTATTCAAAGCAGTCTTAATGGTTGACTACAGGCTTCTCTCAGTAAAGATTGACGTGGTTCAGTTATGAGCTGATTGTGGTCCATTACAGTCTATATGCACAAGTCTGTACCCAGCACAAATCATATTTCGACATTTTTGTTTGATTACTTTTACATTTTACTTTTAATTTATTTAATTAAGGTTAAAGAATGTTACTGCCTAAAGGAATGAGGGATCGTTTGAGTTCATAGAGCTCAAGTCTTTAGTTTTCTGGGAGGTGAAATCTACCACCAGCAGTGCCAAGAGCACTTTTGCAGGCACTATCTATAGCATGTAAAAGTTTTATGTCAAGGAAGCAGCAAGAATTTATCTATGATGAAGTCTAAAGGAAAGAAACAGCCACATTTACATTGCTAACCCCCTCTTGTAGAAGGACCTCCATTCTTACCAGAGTCATTTGATCGAATTCTTCTTGATGCTCCATGTAGTGGGATGGGACAGAGACCAAACATGGCCTATTCCTTGACTTTAAAGGAACTGACCTCCTATCTGCCACTACAGCGCAAGCTCTTCACTGTGGTATGTATTAGATAATGGATTTGTAGCTAAGCTAAACTGAATTTAGATGCTTTTGCAGCATAAAACATCATACTGAAAAATGGTACCTCAGTTTCCCTACCTTTCCAGCAGTTAGGCAGGGAAGTGCTAGGATTCAGTTAACCTCTCAGCTCCACCGTACCTGTTGCTAGGTGAAGCTAGTGAAACTAACCAATGGGAGCATGGGAAAAGTATTATGTAATCCATAGGAAATAAAAATCTTCATATGTATTTTTTTTATTCCTTCAGTTTAATCAGTTTTAATTTATAATACTCACAAGGGTCTAAGTCACACAGCAAGTTAAAGTCTTTTCTCTGCAGCAGCCCAGGCTCTGTAAGTTGCTGTGAGGGACTATGGGATAGGAGATGGAGTACAAAGCCCATAGACCATATTAAAAACTTGTCATGCTAGTAGCAGTGTGCTTGGGCTGATTCTGAAAGATGTGATTTCATTAAACTTGTCTACATCTGAATTATATGTATTCAAGTGAACCACAGCTTGAAAAGCAGCATAGATGTAGCTTCCATGCCAAATCTGTGTCAACAGTTGACAGCTCATATCACTGATAAAAATATTTTGTATCCATGATTGACAGCAGGTAATGAAAACAGAACTAATCTGTCTGGGATATGCAGAGCTGTACAAATAACAACTCTTACAAGGTGAATCATCTCAGTGACAATTATCTACCTGAGCTATAATACTGATTTGGAAAGAAGGTTCTTTGTAATCTATGGGATGCTTTACTGTATTCCCTGAGAAGAATTAGTAGCTTAATACCTATCTTAGAAAGAGTTGAGTTTAATTAAGTGCTAAGTTATAATATTACAGCTTAATGGTTTCTTGGTTAATGGTGCTTAATATGAAAGATTTTACATTTAAAAATAAGCTGAACTAGTGGTTATTTCTCCCTGCAGGCAGTGAAATTGCTGAAGCCAGGAGGTGTTTTAGTATATAGTACATGTACGATTACACTCTCTGAAAACGAGGAGCAAGTTGCTTGGGCCCTGAAAACTTTTCCGTGCCTCCAGCTTCAGCCACAGGTAATAGCATTTTCATGGTGCTTCACACAATCCAGTAAGCTTGGTTTGGCACTGTAAAACTATATTTACTATCAATAAATAAATCTGTTTTTCACTGCAGACAATTTTAACTACTCTGGACGGAAATAACACAAGGATTTCTGAGGATCTTTTAGTCTATTTTTGTGTTTAACTGAGCTTCATTCAGGGATCATTATGTAGTTTCCTGCTGTGTACTGTGGTTGCTTTGATTTGTACAACAGTCATTTAAAACACAACAGGGACAAAAGATAGTTCAGACAGGTTAGAATTTCTCTTGCAATTGTTCTTTAATACATGCATTTTATTCTCTCTTTTTCTGCACATTCACAGGAGAGGTGATTTTATTTTTATTAATGCCACTGAAGCAGTGAAGTCTTGCATAAAGGATGGGAGATAAATGGAAAGAACCTTGTGTTTTGAGGAAGGAATATTTTACATGAATGGGAGATATATTTGCATTACAGAAAGGAATGAGGGAACAAATTTATTTCAGGTCCAGTGTCCCAAGAACGTACCTTGTGTTTTTTTGAGCCAGTGTCTACCATTAACATGTCTGGGAGGAGGTAGTATATAGGGAGATACTAGAATTTTTTTATCTATACCACATACATTTCAAGTGTATGTTACCTTTATTAGTACCTTGAGAGCTGATCATCAGACCACATGTCTGTCTCTTCGTTGATGTGATGAGTTCAGTGGGTTATTTGTTTTATCATCATAGCTTTGATGAAAAGTATAACTCTGATACCTATTTAGCTTACTTACACATTCTGTGATGTCTTATATCTCTCTTAAGAAGTTTAGATGCATTTTTTAAATGAAATTTAAAAACATAGAATAGGTGTAAAATGAGAAAATATATGAAGGCTGGTAAAGATTTAAGAGAACTGAGGCTTTTCTTAAAAGATTTATTTGTATGTTAGGGTTCTTCTGCCTGCCTTCTCACCATCCATTTAGTAGGAGTTTTTCAGTTCCAGCTGTTTCAACTGAGATTATACATTTTACCCAACAGCATAAAAATGATCCTCGATAAAATGACAAAGCAAAACACAAGCCCCATTAACTCAAATGCAAGATTAATTCTGATTTAATAGACTTTTACCAGTCATATCAGTCTTGAATAAAGTACTAGTTTTCCTAAACAAATGTCATTATCTGTAAAAATTAAGCGTTTGTGTATATTTTAAATGAGATGACGCTGGATTGTTTACCCACAGATAGTTTATAGTACCTTATAGCCAGTTCCCCAGTAGTGTAAACTAAGGTGAAGTTTCCTAAAAACAGCAAACTGAAGTCTAGGGTTGACTTACCTCATGGTCCTTTATGTATTTCCCATATTCCATAGTTTCTCAGTGGACACCTCCTTATACACCCAGTCCACTGTCTCCCACTTTCTCAGTTTGGCAATAGATCCTGGGAACATGCTGGGTAAGAAAAAAGGCAGGAGATGGAGCCATAGGCGTTGGTCTCGTAGATGGAGGTTACTGCATGGCAGCTGATCCTTTTGGCTGTGCACACTTACTTCCTCTTAGGGATCCTCCACACAGGAGATACTCTCTATCAGCTTAAATGCAGTAACTTAACTGGAAGGAAAAAGGAAAAAGTAGAGGAAAAAATTGATCTGTCTTTGAACAAATTGCTTGATCCTGTGTAATACTGTTTTCCCTAGACTTTTACTGTTCTGTCCATCTATTACATTACTGCAAGTCAGTCCCCCTACCTCCCTTTGTATGCTATATTATCTCAATTGGCAATGGACACCTCTTTTTGTCTTTCTTTTACCTGGAAAGTACCAAAGTCCTGCTAAGGGAAAGGAAGAGAAGACTCAGGATGCAGCCTCTTGACTGCCCAATTTTACAGCACACAGTATGTGATTAAGCGACAAATTCTCATCATGTGCTGACTGGATGAACTCATGTTAGTGAAGTGTGATGGCTCAAAAAATACTCTGCTGTAGGCTGCATTATAGACTATACTAGACTAGATTTACAAAGGAGATCTATTTTTGATACTGCAGTGCCAGCTTTTGCACATTTTGTTCTGTCTGTCTCCTCACCAAATGCAGTGAAAGAACAATCCAGCTAAGAATCACATTTTAAAAGCTCAGTGTATTAAATAAAAAGCAGTCAAGGCTACTTATAAGAAATACTGAGAAAAGGGCTGTGATTTTAAGTCCTCCTCTTCTCTGGGATTTTGATGCCAAATATCATCTCCTGAATTCAGATACGTAAGCTGTTTCTTTATTTGTCTGCCTCATAGTCATACCCATTTAACAGTGGTCACATTAGACTGTTAGGCTTATTACATGTCATCTAAGCTTAGATTTTCTGCTGCATCATTGTGCCTCTTCTGGCAGTATTCTGGACTAGGGCTTTCAGTCTCTCCAGTTGAAGTTTCTAATGTGAAGAATCCACACATTTCTACTGTTGTTACCGAGTACATCAGTAACTGGCTAAGGAATACTATTTTTGACTTAACTCCTAGCTTATTAGTCAGTACACAGAAGTGCTGCATCATTTTAAAGTGGCAGCCCAAAACCTTTAGACCTTGTTGTCTGGTGATAACAGCTCTCTTGTGATGTTTCAGTCCTTTGAGTAACGAATTGACTTAGACTTAGACGTAGATGAGGTGCACTACCACCTCCTCAAAGTACTTTTAACCTTGTACATATGCTTGTACCAGCACTGGCCAGAGCAAGGCAAGAAAAGAAGGGCCACATTACTTCTAAATCCCCCTGGCGTGAATGACAGACACCTAGCTTCTCCACAGGAACTGTTAGGCAGCTCTGAATACACTTGGTGGAATACACTTACGGCACTTAAGAACTCTACTGATGCAGTAATGATGTGCTTTTTTTTTACTTAAAAAGGAACCTCACATGGGAGGAGAAGGCATGAGGGGAGCTGGACTGCTACTTGATCAGTTGAAGCTGGTGCAGAGATTTGATCCATCTGCTATGACATTGCAAGGAATGGATATTAATTCTTTGCAAGACTTCAGGGAAGATGATCTGATTTCACTGGCAAATAAGGACTGTATAGGATTTTTTATTGCGAAATTTATTAAATCAAACGGTAACTAAGCACTGAGGAGTGGAACCTGAAGAAATGGCTCTGTGAGCCTGGAAGAGTCCAGACACGAAGTGTGTTTCTCAGGGCTGCAGCGTTGCCAGGCCAACGGGCTGACGGCAGGGTTGCTATGGCAGCAAGAAAACCCGCCAGCTGTTCTGCTGGGAAAGAGCCACAGGTTGCAGAAAGTCATGGCTGGGGGAAGGGCAGCATCACTTTTAGATCTCCATTTGCTTTTTCATGGTGAGCAACATGTATATTGACTTAGAGTGCTGTCTGTTCTGTCCTGCCCTGCCCTGCGGGAGTCACTTACCTAGTGCAGCAAGCGTGGGAACAGGCCTTCCCCTCTCAGGGGAAGTGAGCTACTTTATTAAACCCAAACAGAAATAAAATAGATGGGAATGATGATGGTGAATTTTGGAAAAGGTAGTTTCTGGAGAGGTTTACCGATAGTTAATGTTTCATTAAATAGTGCTTTACAAAACACTGTAACATCTTACAAAGAACTGTTTTATAAATTGATACTTAGAACCTCATTTCTCTTTTATTTTTATACAAGCAAGATTCTCTGTACACATAGTATATACACATAATACGATTAGGCTTTGTAGCATGTCTTTTATAGCAGCATGAATATATTAAACCATCTCAGTAATGGGAATGTAAATAAATATTGTTTTAACATCAAACTTCCCATGCATAAACTGTATTGGTTCTGAAGTAGCCTGCTGGACTGGCTGACAAGTGACCATTTTAAAATCAAACATCTGCAACAGAAGGGGCTACAGTTGCAATTAATAGATCAAGAGACAGAAAACAATGCATAATACCATCTGAATTGTGGCAAATTATCTTTCAAACAACTAAGAGTATTTGCTCTTTATCGGTTAGAAAGCATCACCAGCTAAAATCATATGAAAAGTGAAACTAGGGAAGCATGCTAATGAGAACTGCCTTAATACATTGCTCAAAGTTTTAATAACGTAAATTTCTTAAAGGTGTTAGATGTATTTGAAAGTCTGCTTCAGTTCCAGAGATGTTTGCTTTTTGAACAGTATTCTCTTTTCTTGCTGGAACTGACAATAGCATTAAAACTGGAAGGAAAAAGTAAGTAAAATTAAAAAATGTAAAATGACACCTGTGTGTGGTTTCTTGCGTGCACTCACCAATTTCCAGTTTTTAAAAGCATTTATCTAAAAGATGTCTGCCTTTCCACACATGGTTGGATTATGAAGAGTGATACTTCTTTTATAATCTGTCTTTATGCTCTCAGAATTGCTTTTGCATTTGCTCGCAATCAAAACACTGTATAAAACTTTCTCAGTAGTGTTTACTTGTATTTGCTATAAATGTTTTGATACCATGTTTTCTGCTGTTCTTAAATAAAACAAATGTCCCTTCTGTTCTCCCAAGACTTTTTACCTAGTCCAACCTCTGTAAGGCTTATCCTAGCAAGATAGGAAGACAAAATTCTTGTCTACTACATGTCTACTTTTCTTGTCCACTCATTGCCATTAACCACAACACATCTACAGAAGACTTAAAATAATTTTGTTTCATTGGTAGGAAGTGAGAGATCCTACTTACAATCATGAAACCTCATCCTATGAATTAGAGTCTTTTTAGTGCAAATATGGCTAAAATAATCACTTGGTAACAAAAGGGATCAGTCTTCCATTTTAAGTACCCATTGAAATCTTTAACTGAGTGCTAGTAAAAAAAAATATTTTCTTTCTGCAGAATATATAAATTCTGTAAACATTAATCAACGCACAGACTATATACTGAAATTTGCATATGCACATAAAGTAAGGAACATTGCTTCCAGTTTCAGTAGCAGGATTTGTACAATGTTCAAGCTGAAAGAATTAAGGACTGCTCAATTTCTAGTGGAAGATCTTTTGAGAATTTCCCAGTTTTTTAGTTTTTAATGATAAACAGACTTTTCAAGAAGGCAATCTTACTTGATTTTATAGGCGAAGTTTTTTAAGGGGGGGAAAAAAAATAAAGTAACTGACTCATATTTGATTCCAGTCTAACTGAACACCAGAAATCACCTGAAAAAAAAATACTGATATCTATCTGAACTTTTACTGCTAGGCTTAAAAGAACACTTAGCATATTAAAGGGATAAGCCCTAGATTTTTCCCCTCTGTTGGTAGCTGGGGAGCAGGGAGGGGAGAGACTTCTCTATGAAGCAGTTCAGAAGAGAAACTAAAATTAAGATGCTGTCAATCATCCCTTGAAGGAGCCAGCGTCCTTCCTTTGATTACAGGCTTGCTAAATTGGATGGATGCCCTATTTTTCTTGTCTTTTCCAGCCTTCCTGGGCCTTTAACTAGCAGTGCAGGAATATTTTCACAATTTTGATGTAATGGCATATAAATATTTTAAATATGTAATAGGATTATTTACCCGCTAAGAATGCTTTACACACTGAATCATTATGCTTCAATGTTTGATGCTGAAGCACAACTGAATATATATTTTAAAATATATACTGTAGGAGATATTTATATAATAAATTTTAAAAAGTTATAGTCACTGTAATAAAAGATTAACCCTACAAAATAGATAGTTAGGCATCCAATCAGATCCTGTCTTTAAGAAAGTCTGAAAAGTACTCTTTTCTATTTGCAGAAACAGTGATTAGTAATAGTGCCAAATCTAGACATTTATCTTGGTCAATATAAAGATATTAAAATAGGCAGCCTAGTATAGTATCAAATTATTACACAGCTTTTCCTTTTTTAGTGTCATGGGGTCCACTAGTTTTTAGGTCATAGGATTTCAAATGATTTTTAAGGAAAAGGGAATATTTTATTAAGAAATAGGCTTTTGATGGTGATAAACAAATGACTTTGGAGTGGGTAGTTCAAAATATAAAGACCCTTCTTTTTGTGTTTAATTGTTCATGACTAAAAAATTTATGAGCAAATCCAATTCTCTACTGCTAGAATTCACTGCAGAGTAAGCACAATAGATAAAAGTGGCAGAAATAAAGAAAAGAGAATGCAGATGAGTTAGAAGAACCAGCTAATCTCTATTATATCCGATATAAATATTTTTGGGGGTTGCGTAGGAATACATCTCTAGGGTGATAAGTTATAAAAAGAAACTCTATATAAAATTACTGTAAGCTCATATGTAAGACTTTGTTATATAAAAGTGGGGAAATAAATTATAGACAAATTGCCAAGCAATAAATTCAATCCAATAACATTTGATTAAAAACATTCGCATTAAAAATGGCACCCACGAATTTTGCAGATGATTGAAGAACTAAAGTTTTGGTGAAAGATCTGCAATAAAATAATAAATATAAGTAAATGTACACCAAAAATGTTATATTACAATCTGAAAAATAATTTCTCTGTTCTTCCTCTAGAATATGTAATAAAGTTTTTTTGCAATGTGCTTTATTTTCATGAATGGAATAGAATTAAAAGTGAAATGCATTTGGGAAATAGCTTTCAGCCTGACGTGTTAAAGCAATCAGAGGTCAAATGCAACAACAAACCAAACTAAATCTCCAAGAGACTTTATAGTAACTAGCTGGGGGTGGTTTACACTTAACCTTTTTGCTCTGGACAGGCACTGCCAAAAAGCAATCAGACCACTCCCTGCATTCCAGCTAAGTGAATGCTGATAATGGACCACATTAAAACCTCTGCAGGTGTCACAGAATGTGAATGTGACTTCATAAACCAACAGAGCTTAAAAATGATAATTCCTTATTATTAAAAATTCATAAGACAGTAAGTATTAAGGGGCAGGGTATTAGACCTGGGCAGCAACTGCACATATAGAATGAGTAACCAGATAAGGAGAAGTGAAAATAAGTGAGAGCTGGTTGAGTGGAATTTAATTTCCTTATCCTCCTTTTATAATAAGAGCTGTAGGTTAAGAGTTTACGGATTTCTGGAAAAAAGGTATTCCATTCAAACTCATTGTGGCCTTAAAACCACTACTCTTCATCGATTAGGGCCAAATCCTTAGGAGAAAATATTCTAAAACTTGAGAAGCAAAAACCTCATCTCAAATTCTGAACTCCTGACAGAACAAGAATTAATTGGTATTCTAGAAGTATTTTTAAATTTCTAGGCAGCAATTTATGGATTGATTTAAAAACAGTTTCAGCTCTTAACTACTGATGCTGCCTTTATGCACAAATCAGTTTGCTTAATTCAGCCCCATCACCTTGTCTCTTAACAGGTCTGCAGAGTGTTACTCTCCCCTCCTTTAAGTCCCTCCTTGAGAATTGTTTCTTCCATGTCTGTGTGACTCTAAACAACTGATCAAGGATAGAATTGGGCTGCTGAACAGCACTGATGTGTATTTATTTCAAAAAAACAGACAAAAATAAGGTTAACATCTGACATACACATAAATATTAAAATGCGTCCCATTCCTCCCATATACTAATTTTTTTAGAAAAGTATAGAGCTGACAAGACCTATGAATCATTTAACTGTTTTATCTTCCTCCTTTTCCTTCTGTCTCACTGGTTTTATTTTTAGCTCATTCAAACAGAAATTTTACAGGTTGTTTTGTACCACGCATACATAAAACTGGAGTTCAGTGGGACCTCTAGCACTCCTTGGATTCAAAGCTCCTGAAACCAGATACAGAAATATGAACTCATTAGCATCCTAATGCAAACAATAATATTAAACCTTCTATTGGTAAAACTTTGCCAAGACATTTCATCTCAATAACCTTTGATATGTCCTCCAGTTGGAGTATTTTTAAAGCTTCTTATTGAAACAATTCTGTTAAAGTGCTTCTCAAAGTAGTGCTCAGCAGGCAGGTGGTGTTTTGCAATATGTGCAGTACAACCTCACGTTACAAATGATTTGTCACTCTTAGAACAATAACTGAAGGAAAGTATCTTAGCAAGGCTAATAAAAACCTACTGAGTGCATCTGCCTAAGAAAGGCTTGTGTTAGTATGTTGTTTGCACATAATTAGCAGCACTCTACAAAACATGATTCTCTCATTAGTTGGATTGGGACATGCCTTTTTTTTGTGATATTTGTATCTCATAAATCAATATATAGGCCACACTTAAATACTACAGCTTGAACTATGCTCTTTATTTTCTCCTCTTATATTTTCTATGCATATTTTCTCATATTATCTATACATGACTATGTACTCCCTGGTTTTCACACACTACTACACTCTGTGCTTAGAAATTCTGCCAAGTATTCCTTAAAAAATACTTTAAGAAAGGCGGAAAAAAATACTCTCTGAAGCAAAAGTTTAAAAAAGAAAAAGGAAAAAAAATCATAGAATCCATAGATCACTTCTTGGAGGACACAGCTGTCATGTAACAGTTGTAGAAAGCATCAGCATTTACTGAAGCTGGTAAAATACCTAAAGCCAGGCTATACAGAGCAAGAGAATATAACTTCTCTTCCCATTTACATGTGATCTCATACGACGCAAACAACAAAGTCCTTGAACATGATTTTTCCACCGACACCCTGAAAATCCTCTCGTATCAAAAAGCCACTGTTTATATGCTCTTACATATCCACTTAATAATACAAGATCTACTTACCTATGCTTCCTTTGTCTACAAAGTCATTTAGTGATGTTTAGAAAAATGCTGATCATTTTATTTCTAGAAAAACTCCCCTTTCCTTGTGCTCCTCACAGTTCATGCTTTGAGCCAAATATCCTTGAATGCCGACATTCAGCCAGCAGCACTGACTGGCCAGATATCTGGCAGCAGAATTTCATACTCTTAGGTTGTAAAAAAAAAAAAATCATACAAAGCTTCATGGAGAGGGGTGGAAGAAGGAAAGAGCAGACAGATTATATTTAAGGGAGTTAAACTGAATTGCTTGGATGCTAGAATAAGAGATCGGAGAAAACACACACTTGCCATGTATCTTACCCATCATTTCACCAAAATGATATTAAAAATCAGGCAATACTGATATTACCATAATTAAAATAATTAATAAAAAGAAATTCCAGCTAAATTATTATCCCACTACAGTCTTTATAGAATGTGCTATTTACAGTTAAATACAAAAAGCATTTCATTCATACAATTACTACAAAGACTATATGTGATGCAGAACAGCTTTTACACTAGGCAAGGGCATGGAACTTCTAGTCAAAAAAATAATAGTGACATTCCCCCCCACTTACCAGTGCAACAGGTGTTCAATGCAAACCAGTGTTCACTCCCTTTGAATTCAATGCATTTTCTCTAGCAAGCTTGTAACAGAGTATTTTGTCACAGTCATTTTTCTAAGCTCTCACCAGCAGCGTAGCAGTTCAGGTGAAGGAAAAGCAGTGAGCTGGCTGCCAAGTGGGACTGCAGAGGAATTGGCAAGTGCAGAAAAAGTGGAGAAGCTACAAAATTTTATTTTCCAACAAAATAACTCTCCACAAGCTGTGTAAACTTTTCTTACTAAAACAAATACTGTAAAACACAAAGATTTTACATTTCCAGTGAAACACTCATAGTAACATGTGCCTGGTTTTACTCTCCTGAAGTCTCAACAAAGAACCAGCAGATTTATGCTTCCTCAATTACCTGGGTCAGTAAACTCCCTCATACTCCCTGCCTGCAGTTTGGATCTTTCTAATAGCCAGAATGAAGAAGCAGACTTGTTGGGCTTTTGAGTGACCTTTGTTTCTTCAGCAGATCTCACATTTTGCCGCCTAACGCGCACACGCACACGTACACCCACCCCCCCATCCACCCGCCCACATCCACACCCTCTGCTGCGTGCTCTCTTCTTCTGGCAACAGGACAAAAACTCAGCTGTACCCATTGCAATTTTGTGACCTGGACAAAGAATAATTTATAGCAGTAAGTTCGTTGGCTTTGCCATAAACTTAAAACGCCAAATTTGGTTTGCAAAGACAGCATAAGGTATAAGTTAGACCCTTTATCTCAAGCACTCATTGGTATTTACAAGTAGTATAAGCTTTCTGCTACAGAAGAAAAGGTATTTAGAGTGATCGGTGTTACAGATTTCCTATGTGAGGCTAGTTCCAGTTGCCTGCAATTCAAAAGCCAATCTGCTGACTTGGCATTAGGACTCTAAAATGGTGTGATCCAACTTATATATTAAGAAGGTGTCTGCAGAAATAACATTTATAAACGGTATATACAGTACACAGTACTAGTACATAGAAAATAGATTTGGACTTTACGATCCCCTGTGTGTAAGGCAAGACTGAACTCTGTCTTCAAATGGAGTCCACCAGAGGTACAAGCAACATAAAGTGGCTCTTAAACCAATACGCAAATCAAGTGCATACAAATTAAAAATCAGAGCAGACAAAAAGTTTTAGATTTTTTTATGTGCTGATTCTGGCTTGCTGAATACATGGGAAGTTATTAAACATCAAATGTACCTTCTTTAAAAAACACTAACAACACCTTGATGGCAACAGATATTGTTCAAGTGGCAGCTACCAAAAAACAGCTTGAAAAAATGGCACAGTACAGCATCAGGAACTCTGCAGTTGTACCGTGCTAATCCATACAGCACTAACAAAAAAAAAATATAAGTATATGAATATTCTATTTCATGCTATTGCTATGCAAGCAACAGCAATACAAATCAGCATACAGAAGGATACCATATGTTCTGCAATGAAGAACCCAAAGATATTTTTCAAGGGGCATTGTTACAAGACTTCAGAGAAACACAGGACTGCCAGAGGCAAAAGTTACTGACGGATGTAGACATCCCTGTTCCATTCTCCTGCATCATTACGTTTCTTTGATATCACTTCCCCATCCTTGTCACAATATTGGTCCCTTGATTTATGGCGACTACGCTGTTTGTTGCATTCGTTGTGGTCCTGCTCGCGGTCCCTCTCCTTTGAGCGATGCCTTGATTCTCTGTGTCTGTGATCACTGCTCTTGTGGGACTCGTCTCTATGATTGTGATCCCTGTGAGAATCATAGTGGTCACCGTGCTCATGTGAGTAGTCCTCCTTCGGCTCCACGTAAGCCGAATCTCTGCTGTCTTGTGTTTCTGAGTCAAAAGTTTCTTGCCTCGACAGGCGTCTCCCACCACTGCGATGATTGTGGTGTTGGCTTGAGGAGGAGCGATGCTGAGACTTCTTGATAGGTTCAACCTGTGCTTCCTCTTCAATTTGTGAACTGCTGCGTTCAGGGACTGAATGGTCATTCCTCTGGTCTCCTTGAGAACCCTGCTATCACAACCAATAGTAAGTAAGTTCATATACATGAAGGACACATTTAAAAACTTCCCCCAATATCAAATTCAACTAGAAAGTACCATGAAACCAACAAAATTTAAGTACACAACAATCCACTTTCAATCTAAACTAGGAAAAAAACACTAAAATTCAACTTTTACCGAAAAATCAGTATTATAATACAAACAATTCCTTTCACTCTCATCAGAATGGAGGGTGGCACTCGGGTTATTCTGTGACACTTTCTTGTCTCCTATGATGTTTCTGGCTATTCCAGTTAGCAATAATTGCCTACCACACTCCAGACAAAAAAAAGACCATGCAGAGGCAAGACAAACTGCAGAAAAATTGAAGAGGATGTATCATGCCAGGAGAGGTATCAGCTGAGAGTTTACAGAAGCCTGCTTGGAAACACTATGGGAAAGTTATTTTAGAGGGCTGAGGAGGTGGATTCCATCACAGAACAAAAGCAGAAAACCTTGCCTCTTTTAGAGTAAGTTTGAAAAAATGTTGGTTTTTTTTTTTTTTTAAAAAAAAACGCAATTGAATCTCATATGAAGTTTGTATTATGATACTAATAGTATCGCTGACCTTCTGTTTTTCTCAGCAGTAATTCCATTTCTTCACAGTCATGAAAAGTTAAACTTTGACCTCATATTTTTAAGAGCTCAAGAATACAGACCATTGCCAAGAAAAGCCAGAGGAGAGTGATATGATCACCTACAGAATTTCCTAATACACCACTACTATTAAAAAGACCAAAATAAAAAAATTACCAGGTAATAACAAACCTACTCTTCACCAGCATAAAGCTTTGAAATCACTGCAAAATGAACAAGTGGCATTATTTAACTCATTTGGGAGTTTCATTGCATTAACCTGGTTTTATTCCCAAACCAGAGCCAAAGACTTTTCAAGCTTAACTGTAAAATTTTAAGAAATACTTTATGGTGAAATTGAATTAAGCTTCTCAGACAAGGTGAAAAACATCAACACAAAATCACCTAGACTGGAACAAAATTAAAGTAGGTTTTAACAGTTACACAGGTGTCTGTGAGACTGTCTGAAATTTACCAAAGTTAGTCCAAATTTTGCAATCCTATGTTCAGAATTGTCTAAAAATACGGATAGCCTCCAGGACAGCACAGGGACATATCTTTTTTCTGTCTTCATATGTCTTTCTGTTTTGTGAAGAAGAACTAGGGCAAGGCGGAAATTTTGTCCTTCAGCCACAGATCCTGGCAGATGGGTTTCTTAGCAACCCAAAAAATAAAATGACATAAAACTGCAGAGGAACAAATCTGTATTATATCAGAAACTTATAAAAAGCAACATATTTCAAATCAGGAATTTGTTACATTTGACAAATATTAATTTTCCAAGACAACCTTTTATTCTGTGAGCTTCACATCAACTAACTGGGTTGCCTCATGTGTTTCTAATTTGTGACAAATGGTATGGATGAGAACAAGGTGAAACAAACAGCAGTTTCCTTTTTGCTCTTGTTTTCATCACACTCAAGATGATTCTGATTTGCCAGAATAGGGACGTAGTAATTGTAAACATGAACAGATGTATCCAAGGTGAACAGAAGTGACTCAATGGAAGTGAATTATAAATTAAATCAAGAGAAAAGCTGGAGAGTGCAAAGCAATGCCTCTTTGGGAAGTGGAAAAACATTTTCATTGGTTCACCGCCATGAGTGTTTTTATGGCTCATAAGCTGGCTACACACGTGAAGCCCCTCACCTCTCATATGGTTAAATGCCAAATATGTATGTGTCTATATATATAATCATGACTAATAAAATCTGTCATTGCTGTGGTTTGGGAACAAATGCAAAGTTGGAACCGGCTTTGAACAGAATGCTACTTGTACAAACTCAGATGCATCTTCTCTGCTATGACGAGTACGTGTGGAGGAGCCCAACGAATAAATTTAGAGCCAGTGTCTGCAATTTCAGAATAGTGTTAGGGCTATTGGGATTTATGGGCAACTTCATGGACATTAACTTTCCCTAAATATTACAAGGACACTGGGCAGATAATGTTTGAATCTGGATTAGGGTTTGGCTTTGTAGCTTATAACCAAATTAGAGCACTGATTTGGATTAGATTCTGAAGAATCTAATCAGTTTCTGTGGCCCAATCTCATAAGTTTTTTTTTTCCTAAAATGGAGAAAGTTTGAGTCCAGCTCATTTCATTATTCAGGTTATAATTTCAAAGAAGTAGAGTTTCTTGGAAAGAAGTTTAAGCTGTGTTGAAACAGAAGAGAGAAATCTGTGTCTGCTGAATCAATTTGGCTTGCTCCCTGTTTCCGTGCAATGGTCCCTAATTGCCTGCACCATATGTGTGTGAGGTTGCTCTTACTTTCTTTTTGGAATTAGCCAACTGTTTCCCTCCAAGAGGAAACCTGAGAACAGTCATCAGGACAGTTTGTTCCAAAGTTCTCCATCAGACAGACAAGAGATGTATGGTCTTCACCAATGTAATTTCAAACAGTCCCAAAAGGCCTCATACCTTCAAGCACCTGATGCATGCAATACACACAGTCGGCATCATTCTCTAAACATACAGCTCTGGCAGCTGGCAACACAAATCTCTCATCACAATATACATCCAGGACTGAAACGCCACAAAACCTGATTATGTCTCAGGGCAGAGGAGTACTGCACTGACCCTGGGGAGAATTACTCAAATGCTTTGCAGTGCAGATGTGGCCCCTCCAGGCCAAATGGCTGGTGGTGTGGTTTTTCCCTGCAGAGCAGTCCACAAAAACAGCACAGACATGGACTTTAAATTCTCCAGATAAAGGGTCTTAACGCTATTGAGAGAATGGGTTCAGCCACCATGATTAGAAAAAAAAAATACTCTGTTCCAAGACCATGACAGACTCAGGTTTTTGACATCAGCTGGAAATGTATCTATAGGAAAATGAAACAAAAGGAGCGTACAAGTTCTACGTTCCGTAAGGGAACCCCATCACTTCTCACTTTTGGATTAGTAGAGCTACAAACTGTGAAAATGCAAATACATTCTCATTTTTAGTCTTTAAAATTACAATCTGTTTATTTGTAAGGAGATAGCACAACATTCAGAAAAGTGTTATTAAAACTCTGTATAGTTCCTCCAGAGAATGTGGTTAATAAAATGAGTATGTGAATTATAAATCCACACCAAAAAGGCATAAAAAAACCTTGAGCAAAATAATGAACACATCTACAAAGCAAAGGAAGTTTAACTAGCAACTCTGCACACAACAATACTGAATTTCATACTCAGAAATTCTTCCAGATCACAATTTTTTCAGGGTGTTTCAGCTCTGAGAACAGAAAAAAAGGCAGAAATGAGCCATAGCTTTGTCTCTTTGCCTGCAACTGCTTTTGAAAGCAAGAGAAGGAGATATTTTTCTTTTTAAAGAACAAAACTATGGTGTCTGTGGTCTTCTAATGTGAAAAATTCTTTGACACAAAAAATTGTTTTGCAAGATGAAAACAAAAAGCAAATTTTCAGCATGTTAATTTGAGTGCAGGTAAGTTATGAATTCTAACTGATATATGTATGCAAATTATGGGCATACGTGGAACTTAGATAAAAAATCTTATTTAGTAAACTGTTATTTGAGCTCAGACAGATGTATTTTATCCTCCATTGTGATCTTGGTCTCAATGCACCACTCACTGTTTATAGTGAAGTAGCACCTTTAAAGGCCTCATTTCATGCCATGCAACACATATACAAAGGAGAGAATCTCTGTGCTGGAAACATTAAAAAAATTACACAAACCAAAAGGTGAAGGAGAAAAGTGGGGACATAATATGCCCAGAGTTAACAGTCAGGTCAGTGTGGAGGTGGAAATAAAGCCTGTTTTTCTCAGCTTGGTAGACATACCCACACTGTTCAGAACATACTGCTTCTCAAGGTCTCTCTACACAATGCGCAGTGGGTTTTATGTAAGGGTTCAGCTTGAAGGAAGTATGTACATTTCACAATAATGGCCAACGAATAAAAGAACAAAAAGAAACACTGGAAGGGCCAGTTTGACCTTGAGACTTCACTAGTACACCCAGTCATTCTCAGCCTCTACAACTCTATAGCCTGTGGGAACATTGGAACAGATTTCCTCCAAGTCTTGTGGGTCTGCTCTGTATGTAACCCAATTTGTCACGCAGGGTCTCTGGGGCTGAGATTTGGCTATTAGCAATGGTGTGTCCATCAGTCTGAGTTACCAGAGGCTGTAGCGTGCATAGTATTAGCCCAGTTTTATTCCTCTGACTGGATTACATAAGGCCAGCTATATAAATGCTTCTGGCTGGTACACGTATTACTGGCACAGTGGTGTCCTGGGCACAACGAAATCTTAAGTATTGCACTTCACATCACCATATGTTTTCAGTCAAGCTGTCTTAGTCCTTGGAATCAAAACCAGCCCCTTAGTCAATACACAAACACATGCTATTGTGAATATAACAGCAATGACAGTAATATGCCTGTATTTGTCTTTTACACTGAAAATGGGTGTCTACAGAAAAAGCTATTATTCTGTCAACAACAGTATCACATATTCAGCATATTCTAGTATAGACTAGACTCTGCTGAACTGGTACAGACTACCATGGTGCTTTGGAAGAGGAAGAAGTTGATAGGGGAAAAAAAAAGAGATGGCAAAAAAACTGTACCTGTAAATTAATATTTGGACCTGGGCTAATAGGAAGAGTGGCTGTTGCAAGTGTGCGAGTGAGAAGCTGGTTAGGAGGATTACTGCTGGGTGGATGTGTGGCCTTCCAGTAGGCTTCCAGGTAGTCAGCAAGGTGCTCACAAGCATCTTCAAGCTGGTTCTCATCAAGAATTACATCGAACATCTCCTGATAAGGGAAAGGTTTTTAGTGAGAATAATCACCACCTAAAGGGAGATCAGGTAGAGACACTGATGACCACATTTCCCACTCATCAAAAATGAACCACATTTCTAATATTTAAGATATTTCACCCTTTTGGAGTTTGGGTTTCTTTTTAAGGCGATTGATACAAAAGGTAACAATCATAACCAGCACTAATATTACACTTGTGAAAGCAAGTCCTTGTCTTCCACTTCGTAATGCATAGTCAATGAAGACAGGAAGAAACAGCTTGAACAAATCTTAAAATTCAAAAATCCATTAAGAAAGGTCAAATATTGAAGTTTTTAGCTACTGGCACAAAATGGAATAGCAAGAAAAGGTATTCACTTCCCGTAACTATAATAACAAAAAGAAAACTAAGACAAACTAAGACAAAAAAGTAACAGCATTAAGAAACAGAAATAATACAGATCATTCAGTTTTGAAGTGTTGTACAAATATTAGGTATGAGATAGTCACATTAGACAATGGTCTAATCTAAAGTTAGGAGGCAGGTTTCCTCCATTCCCTCCCTGATCAGGGAGACAGAAATCCTCCTGAAGGCAGCTTTGAGAGCCTACAGAAGTCTCTAGCATTCTTCATTGACTTCTCAGGGACCTGAGGAGTCTAGTCTGAACTGAGATGCTTGAACATAAAAGATGAGAACATACCCCTCACTCAGCCCTGTAACTGTGGCAAATTTCAATACATGCAACTTAACACAACTTTGATCTTCTGGTCTCTTGCCTGTAGTCTTGACAATTGAGTATGCAGGTAATAAAGCTTGCCATGTTTAAAATATACCTGATGTCTCATCATCTCCACTTCATAGGTGGGAATTCAGAGAATTTGCTTCAGTGCACACCAACAGAACCACAGAGCTCTCAGCTATGCAGTACCCCCACAGCTCTTTGTAAAAACGGTGACCAAGAACACCAGCAGTAACGGGGCTGCAGCAACATATGCCCCCGAGGAGCTACCCAAACCACCCTCCTTACCCTAACCTGCCAGAGGGAAAGCACAGTCACTACAAGAGTTCATTTTTATACCAATAAGCCCGAAAAAGTTATCAAACAAAACAAATGTTCAGTTTGTTCAAGCAGTGAATGTGTTCAGCACACATCCTAATAACTACTTGTGACAAGGACTGTTTTTCCCTGCACCCCTGTGCAGAGCCCAGAGACCTCAGGAAGTGTTCTGCGAAAAAGCAATAGTGAAATATGGCCAGAAGAGGGCAAACGTTCCCAGAAATAACATCCTGCTTGAAAAGAAAGGCACCTTTCAAAGACCAGACATAATTGAACAGCAGCTCACCGGAGGACACTGTGCCAGTTTATCAGCTGCCACCATCTGAACATTAAGGTGTTTGGCTTGAGATTTCCCTCGAGACTTTATTAACCTCTGTAAAACCTGTGAAAAATAAGACATTAATAAAAGCAAGCAGGTTTGGACTTAATGTACATATACAAGCACTTAAAATGTTTCCATTTTTACCTGTCTACTTGAGCAAATCAAATTCTTAATTTGCTGGCTTCAGGGACATTTCCCACACTGTTTACAACCAGAACAAGCTAATTTTAATTTACTGCCCAACGTCTCCTTTCCTATTATGAGTACTAAAAGGTTGCCCTCCTATTTTCCTTTACTGCTTCTGCATAATTTTTTGTGTCTAAGTTGAAATTCTTGAATTGCTTTCCTGAATTCTCTTCCCATAATTCATTATTCTCTTTCAAATGGCTCTTCACCAGGTCTGTTTTTCACAGAATGGAAGAGTACATTATCAGGAGATATTAAAGTTAATCAATCAGTCTGATACTCATTATGTGAAAATCTTTCCTTTCTGTATTGTTTTTATTTAACGAATTGTTATTATTGCTTATGTAATTGAGACTAAAAGCACAATTCCAATTTAAAAAAAAAAACCAACCACTGGAGCTACAACACCTTTTCCAAAACGGGTTTTGCAAAGACCAGAGCTAAGATACTTTTTTAATTAATATTTCACCATCCAAAGGGAAGCAACAACAGTAAATAGCTCTGAACTTCAATGAGGACATGTGATTATCTGCATTTAAGACCAAAAAAGAGAAAAGAAAAAAAGACTGAAACAGCATGAATATCAGTAAAATATTTACCTTAGGAGAAGAAATCTTTACATATACTATAATGGGAGCCAGAGAGGTTTTGCTTAGTTGAGCTGGGTGGTTAATGGTATCAGCATCTAGCACTACCAACTGCAGTGTCCTTGCTAACTCAAAAATCCGTTCAATTTCACTTTGAACTTCAGCTGCAGAGAAGTAGAAAATCAGAGTTATGAAAACATTAAAAGGCAAGTAGTTTTAAGAAATGTAAAACAGTGATAGACTGGTGGGTTGCTCTTCATCAGGTTGGCAGGAGTTGTTAGCCATGCCTGCCCCTGGCAGGCTGGGGAAAGGAAAGCAACGTTAAGGAGAGCGGTTTTCCCTCGGCTTGTTGCCCTCGCAGACAGCACTACCTGCCTCTCACCTCCACCTGGTCCTGCAATCCCTGCCTTTCCTGTAAGACCCCAGTCCCTGTATATAGGAAAAGCAGATAAAAATGCTTGCTGCATCACATCGAAATCCTACTATGCCATTTATTTCCTACATGTAAATAATTTCAGCTCAGACTTTAATCTCACATAGTCAGCAATTTGCTCAAACTGGAGTGCCTGAGATAGGCATTAAGACACATTGAGGTGTCCATACTAGCAGAAGCTTCCGTTTTTCCATTTACTTCAACTTATCGAAGCTCTGGAAAACAGAGTTTCCCTCATATACGGGTATAAGCTAGAAAATAGGAAATTCCACCTCAACATGAGGAGAAACTTCTTTCCTGTGAGACTGATGAAGCACTGTAACAAGCTGCCTAGAGATGTTGTGAAGTCTCCTTGTCTGGAGACTTTCAAAACCTGCCTGGATGCATTCCTGGGTGGCCTGACCTAGGTGATCCTGCTTTGGCAGGGGGTTTGGACTAGATGATCTCTAGAGGTCCCTTCCAACCCCTAACATTCTATGATTCTATGATATACTGGCCTCAGTATGGTACCATATTAAAAACTTGACTCCTAGATGTAAAATACTTTTTTTAAAAAATAATTAAATAATCCAAATACTACTATGGTATCCTCCTCACAATCTGGGGGGGAAAAAAAAAACAGAAAAAAAAAAAAATCCCACCTCACAGTTCTGGAAAGGTGTTTTTCCAGGAAAAAGTAATCTTGTCTTCTGCTAACTTATGCTCCCAGCTCCTCAGTACCCTGTCTGATTGGCAGCAGTTTCCAGGGCAAACCTCTCCAAGACAGATGAACTGCATCCATTTTCACAAGGCATGTATAAACTGTCTTCACTCCCAAATGAAACAAAATTAAAACTTCTAATAGCAAAATCATCCTTGAAATGGAATCATGTTTTCCTGCTCAGATCTTGCTACATGCTGGCTTCACAGAGAAATTACAGAAGTTAGGTGATTTGTGCAGACCTGTAAAGTAAGTTATAGAGCCAGACAAGATTGCAGTTCATACAGGCTTCACTTTAAAAGTTGTACACACTCCGTGAACCAAAACCAGATTAGATATCTAGTCCAATCAAAGCAAATATTAGAAAATAACTGACAAAAATTTAAAAGTCAACAAGAGGCACCAAAAACTTTATTAAGAGTTTTCTGATATTACACTATCCACATTTTATCTATTATGCTGGCACAAGCATTATATTTGCTTGACAACACAGCCTATATGATCTAGCCAGAGAAAGTTTTCAACAGCAAATGGTCTCTTTCAAGACGTGTGAAGAGATTGATTTTTGTTACATAGAATCATAGAATCCT